GGAACGATTACAAAACTAACCAGTTAACTGTGCAACGATTACAAAACTAACCAGTAAACTGTGCAACGATTGCAAAACTAACCAGTAAACTGTGGAACGATTAAAAAACTGACCAGTAAACTGTGCAACGATTACAAGACTAACTAATAATCGGTAAAAACAATCACAATTTACAAATCGTAAAGAATATTTCGTCATTAAAAGAAGGAACGAAGACGACAACAATTTCACCGTGGCTTTAGATTTACACAACTTGTCCATGATCATTCTTCACATTAATCTTAGGTCCTTGAAAGTGCAAAATATTGCAACTATTGAAGAAAATAAAAATGTTTGTCCATTGAACAGTAAATGCAGTTTTAAAAGAATTGCTTGCCACAAACTCGGATTTGCTAATCACTATATCTTTCCAACCTTATGTAGAAGAAATTAGATATTTCAAACTATGAATTCTGTTAGAGAAAATAATCCAAGTTTGAAATTTCAAATGTTTCCACTATCAGATTGCAAAGTTATAGGGATTGATAAATTTTAATTTGTAGCAAAATTCCTTTATGAATCACAAAAAACAGAATTATCAGTTATAACTCGTACCTCAGGCATCTCTATTATAGTTCTGTGTACCATTTCTTTTTCTTATTATTCTACGTTTTATAGAAAATGACGCAGCTAAATTTTTAGCTTGTCATTTCTGAAATCTTTCAATATTTCCTTAATTTTACTTTTTCTTTATTATTCTAGTGTTTAATCCAAAATACTCAAACCTTTTAAAATTAATGAAATCTTTTTTCCATATCTACAAGGTGTCCCAATAAACATGGGAATTCAGTGACGAATTCGATGTCGTCTTTTTATATAATTCTTTGATTTAGTATAGTAATACCTACTGATAAAGCTGTAATCTGTAAGAGTTTCGTCTTCTATGTTCACATTTTGTTTGTTTATGTTTTGACTGCATACGGATGTACTAAGTAAAACAATAAAATTGCTGTATACAAACAGAGTAAACTTGTCCGTCTTCACTGTTCATCTTGCGGAGATATTGTAGACACATCTTTACAGTCTTTTGCCCTTTTCATNGTACCTGGATCAAGCCAAGGATGAGGAGAAGGATATGGTTCTCCCAGAAAAGGTGGGCGGTTCCAAGGTTCATCTTCTATTGGGAATAAAGAACATCAATATCCAGGTTTTATCCCATCAATATCCAGGTTGTATCCCATCAATATCCAGGTTGTATCCCATCAATATCCAGGTTCTATCCCATCAATATCCAGGCTGTATCCCATCAATATCCAGGTTGTATCCCATCAATATCCAGATTGTATCCCATCAATATCCAGGTTCTATCCCGTCAATATTCAGGTTGTATCCCATCAATATCAATGTCTCCGCATGTCAGATTGTCGGACACTATAATGAGAAACTGTAATTAGGAATCTCATGCCAATATTGATACGAAGCGAAATACACTCAACACCAATACAATACAAGTACAATAGATGGCTACAGAGAAATGGACCAATTATACACGACGATTGAAAGTCTAATGAGCTTTCCAAAATGTGGTTTACCATTTTTCACCTTCAAAATTGACGGAGATTTTAGGAAATTTGTTAGATTCCAGTTTATTAAAAATCAATAAAACTGTTCAAATGTTTAATATTTATGTCAATTTAAAAGATATGAAGATGGTATAAACCACATTTTTAAAGCTCATTAGAATTTCAATCTTTTGTCATTTATCAATTATTGGAAATCAAAGACGATATTTAAGTCGTCTCTCAATTCCCATGTTTATTGGGACACCCTGTATTATGATGCATCATAGATAATTTGACTCTTAAATAAAATTGTCTATTCATTAAATACCAATTTAGCATAAGATCACAAGGATCATATTAAAATACATCATAGATAATTGGACTTTTTAAATAAAATTGTCTATTCATTAAATACCAATTTAGCGTAAGATAACAAGGATCATATTAAAATACATCATAGATAATTGGACTTTTTAAATAAAAGTGTCTTTTCATTATAAACCAATTTAGCATAAGATAACAAGGATCATATTAAAATACATCATAGATAATCGGACTTTTAAAAAAAATTCTTTTTTAACAAATATCAATATCCTAAGATCTCAATGATTATATCCAAAGAGGGTATGAATAATAGAAGATACGGCATTACGCATCTCAATTGTATGAAAAATACCACACATTTTAAATCAAAATTTGTTAGATGTCATAAAGTATAGTTTTGTGATAGTCTAAAGCAGAATTTTAGGCCAGTAACGTGAGCAAGGCCCTAAAAACATTGGTTTTAAGCAGTCAAATTTGTTTAACCAATTGCATTTTAATCTGTTTTAAGACAAATTTTATCTATAAAGATAATAAAGTTATGAATTTATAACGGCAAATTACGTAAAAAACGCAAGTTTTTGGTGATGAAAATGCTTAAAAGTTTTAAAATCTTTTTAAATTATAGAAAGACGACATTCTATGGCTTCTTATTGAATTCAATTGAGGCGTTAGGGTTTGCGTATAAATCCCAATGCCACTCTTTATATTACAAAGCTCTTTGATTATATCTATGTTGACTATATAGATAAGTTTACTTAAAAAATAAATTGTCTTTATTTTTATGATTTTTCCCAATAAAAATCGACCTACTCAACGTGGAATCTTAAAACCAAGCTGAGAATATAGAATACTGTTTTAATCAATTTGAAATTACCATTTTCAAAGTTTGAACGTTGAAATTTCTACAAGAAATTCATTGTCTGTAAAATTACATTTTTTTTCAAAAACATTTTAAGATTTTTCTTTTTTTGAAACAAGGTTTATTAAAATCTAAAACATAGTTTACGTTTTTATCATAAATAACAATTTGCAAAATCTACATGCAATGAGCCACGAATATTTCACGCACGAAACATGGTGACCCGTGAGTTTAGTTTGTGCCAGGTCCCTTACTACCACTGTCCGCAGAAAGAAGATTTAAAGAAGGAAGTTTAAAATTTCTTCTCAGGAAGACGACATTTTCAATGTCGTCCTCTGAAAACCTTCTCCTTTTAGGTTTTAATACTCCGATGCTAGTTCTAACTTCTAATCTTGATTATTATAGATTGTTGAGCAATTATATCTATTCAACTAAATATCTAAGAATATCTATAGCTATATATATAAAGTAGTAATCTCTGTTTGGGTGTGTGTTTGTATATGTATATCTGATTAGAACTAGCTCAGGAACTTATTGGCCGATTTATCTGGGGACAGGTGCGTATTCAGGATTTTATCCAGGGGGGGCAACATTTTTTTTCTCCCCTTGGAATTGTTTTGTTCAAAAAGTCAATTAACACCATATAAATACACCAAAAAGACTATTATTTTTAGGTGTTACTAACTTTACTGAGACTGATAATTATTCCTTTGCTCGAAAAATTAACTTTAACCTTTTAACTTTATAAATTTATCACTTAACTCCATCACAGCTAACTAAATCAATAATCACAGCATCATTAAAAAATTATATTTTTACTAATAATACGAAATTTCTTCTGAAATTTTTAGATAGAATTTATTCCATCTACATATTCACTAACTCTTTTAAGCTTCAATTTTGTGGGATTTGCTTGCACAAACATTTCAATGATTTTCTCAGTAGAGAGCTCAGACAGCTTTGTAGGGTGTAAGGCCATAAGTGCAAGTTCGTTAAGTCTGCTAAGTAAGACGACATTTATATAATTCAGTTTAAAGTATCTTAAAATTTTGTATTAACAGTGAACTTAGACAAATCCTTAGTCTTTGTCATTGTAAGGTGTTACTTTTTAAACGTAGTTTCCTTTTAATTAAGTATTTTCCAGGGGGGGACAAGAGGAATACTGCCCCCCCCCTGAATACGCCACTGTCTGGGGAACTCGGTAGAACCACGGAAATGTTCTTAGTTTTGTTTTAACAGTCTAAGCTGACTTTTACAGAGAAAGTTTAGTATCCAGGCAAAGCTGAGTTCTTAAGCCAGTGTAAATATGGAATTATGAATTCAAGATATTAAATTCCTGACGCGCATGCAGAACAAAAAATTCAATATTTTATTTGTATTTTTTACATTTAACCAACATATAAATTTGTTTTTCATTTAAACAACAACTTAAAGTGGTTTAAGCGGGGAAACAATAAAGATGAAAAAATGTAAAATAAACAATGTGCAAATAGAATTTGTACACTCTCAGTACAGCTCAAGGAGTACAGGGTGTCCCATATAAACATGGGAATTCAGTGACGAATTCAATATCGCCTTTTTAAATAAATAGTGATACCTAATGAGAAAGCTGTAGTCCGTAAAATTTTAATCTGCTATGTTTACAATTTGTTTGTTTATGTTTTAACTGCATATACGGTTGTACTTAGAAAAAAAAAGAAAATTGCTGTACACAAATAGAATAAACTTTTCAGTCTTTACTGTTCATCTTGCAGAGACATTATAGACACATCTTTTGCAGCCATTTACCCTTTTCATAAAATTATCTCTAGCAGACATAATAATATTATGGCTTTTGAAATCAGGTACAGGGTGTCCCAATAAACATGGGAATTCAGTGACGAATTCGATATAGTCTTTTCAAACAATTCTTTGATTTAGTATGGTGATACCTTCTGAGAAAGCTGTAATCTGTAAGAGTTTCGTCTGCTACGTTTACATTTTGTTTGTTTATGTTTTGACTGCATACGGTTGTACTTAGTAAAACAAGAAAATTGCAGTATACAAACAGAGTAAACTTGTCCNGAACATAATATACAGGTATTGTGCAATGTTATAACAGACACATTTCATTTAATAAGTTGATTTTAAATACTCATATGAACATAATATACAGGTATTGTGCAATGTTATAACAGACACATTTCATTTAATAAGTTGATTTTAAATACTCATATGAACATAATATACAGGTATTGTGCAATGTTATAACAGACCAATTTCACTTAATAAGTTGATTTTAACTTAAAAATGTATTTGTTACTTAACAATATCGAATAAACATAGAATTACAAAATGTCGTCATCATTTTCCACAGCTTATTGGGTCCCACTGTTCTTTCTTATCTCAAAATAGTATCGAAAAACAAGTGTTTAAAACCTTACAAATACCAATTTATTTCAATTTTTCTCTGGTCCAGAATTTTAACAAGTTACAGCATTGATCAAAGATGTGTTGTTAGTTATTTACATAGATAAAGATGAACAGATTAATCAAAAAGATATGAGTTTACATGATCTAAGGGACTGTTAACAAAAGTTAAAGTGATCCTCTATTTAAATATTTGCACCGGATTCAACATTATTGAAAAACAAATATTGTAGATTCTATCTAAAAAAATCAATTATGGCAATTGTATTCCTTGAATGCCGAGGGTCACATAAAATTATGCCTTTGGCTTTAACAGTTCCTATTAACAGGAGTTGATAAATTCCTCTCAACCTGAATATCAGAATTGATCTAAAGAATACATAAATTGATCATAAGGAGTCCCTGTCCTCCGTTAATTGATCAAGAAGGCTGTATTATTAGGAGAGAATTGACCAAGGTTGTTAGAACGGACTGTCAATGATTCCATAGGTTTGAAGAGAGGAGAGTACAATGTAGAGAATCCAAAGAATAAGAAGGAACCCTCCAGACAAATACTTCAAAACTAAATATACAAATACTTCAAAACTAAATATACAAATACTTCAAAACTAAATATACAAAATCCATTATCCACACTTGTCACACACTTTAATTTACTATTCCCAATATCTTTGCACCCTGCAGGTAACCTTTGATATTACAAACTTAGATTACCTGATCTAACAGAGTTCACAGTTTGAAACAACATGGGGTTGCGAAGATGTTAGGATTAACAAATTCCTTTGTTTTAAATGTTTAAAGAAAAATGTAGTATAGAAGGAAAATGTAGTATAGAAGGAAAATGTAGTATAGAAGGAAAATGTAGTATAGAAGGAAAATGTAGTATAGAAGGAAAATGTAGTATAGAAGGAAAAGACTCAAAAGAATAAATAAGAGGTTTAAATGGAATAATGAAGGATTAATATGAGGAAATAAATAAGATTAGAGGAAAAAAGAAAATGAAAAGAATAAAAAAGAGAAAAAGAAACGAAATAGTTAAAAAGCACGAAAAAGGATTAGACAAAAATGGAAAATGACGGAAAAGAATTAATAGAAAAAAGAATTGAAATGTATATGTATGGATGAATAAAAAGAATGAAATTATTAAATCAAGAAAAAAGAATTAAAAAAGACTGTACCTTTATTTCCACCAAGTTCAGCTTTACCAAATATCCCCAGGAAGCGTCTGCATAGGATGAGGATGATCGCTAATATTGCGAAGAGAGTGTAAATGGTTACGGAGAACCCCAGATTTCCAGCTTTAACCTGAAACCCTTTCTCCGGATCCTAAACATCAATTTCTAGTAATATCTCATTTTGTATTCTTACAGGGTCTGCCACCGTAATATGGTGACCCTTAAAGGGAGTGTTCGCTAAAAATGAAGGGGTGTATGCAGGCTTACGGCGTAAAATTATCGATGACTATTGTTTGTAATATCGGAATGATTTGTTTGAAATTACATTGACTTTTTACAATCCGAGTAGTATGTTATAACGCTATGCTCTTCGGTATAAGTCGATTTTAACAATTTTCTACTTATAGACGCATCAGATAGAAGGAAGATTAGTAGCGATCACCATAGATGATTTTTCGCCGTAAGTCTATTCCCCCCTTTATTTTTCGCGTTTACAGTGTGTATAAATTATTCATAACAATGCCCTTAAATCCCATAACGACGAGGTATGTAATTCTATCTACAGGTTTACCCACAAAGAATAAGACTTCAGAGACGACTGTACAGAATTTATTCCGTCTATTCTCTTATATTTATGATATCTGTAATCTTGTCTCTTTGCCAAATTGTTACAGTGAAACCCTTAATAACGAATACATCGAAAGAATTCATCAAATGTCGTATTCTTCACTTTCTGATAATGGAATGTTGCAGATATTTAGTTTTTAAATTAAATAATTATATGGAACTCTTTAAAACTGTTCCCGCATATTCATGGCTATTTATTTATTTTCGCAAATACTGAAATTTACGTAATATAGTATAAAACTTATTAAAAAATTGTCAAGACGACATTTGATAAATTCTTCCGATGTATTCGTTATTAAGGGTTTCACTGTAGATAAGCTAAACGCACGTGAATACCACATTTATGGCAGAATACTCACTTCAAACTTGGAATCGGCATATTCAAAGAGTTTTAAGTCGTCTTAATAGTCTCATCTTTTATGGGTAACCCTGTATTTTTGGACAAATCTAACGTTCATTTCTCTTCGTTTTTGCCATAGAAATCCAAGAGAGGTAATATAGGGGAAATATGACATCCCTCTGATTCGTTGATGGCACTCTTTAAATGATAATTCTCTCATATTTACGTGATTAGTCCCTTTAAATCAAAACTTACATTAACGGCCCAGTAGATGGATGCAATGAGCCAAGGGATCCCGAGTCCCATAAACACGTTCACAGAGTTACTTCCGGTCACGTTTCCGATAGCGTTGTCTGCGTACTTTTCATTTATTGACGCAGTTTTACTGGCGAAAGTGTCAGGGAGTGAGGTACCGAGCGCCACGAAGGTGATGGCTGTCACTTCATCCTTGAGCCCAACCAAGCAGCCGAAGATACCAGCCAAATCGCCGACAATTATTACCAAAACGCCGATCATAATCAGAGAGACGACGAATGTCAACCAACCGCCCATTATCGAAGGAGGCGGAATCAAAGCAAATATCAACTGAAACAAAACAAAAATGAATAAAGTAAATTTTAGATATATTAAGACGACATTATAAAGAATTCATTATAAAACCTTGTATCCGAATGTAAGGAAGTGCATGATGTAGTCGCCATTTGTAGCATTATCTAGGTCGCCGCCATTAACAACCATAGCGTCCTTTATCTGCTGGGCCCAGGTCTCATTATGCACCCTCATCCCGTCCACGTTCGCGTTGGTCATCAAAAGCAGCTTGTTCATCACACTGTTGAACTCGTCGTCGTTGGTGATTGTTACGGCTGTTCTTTTCAGTTTACCCAGGACTGCGCCACTTGACGCCTCATACAGTTCGACTTCAAAGTTTTCGTCTTTCTCGTAAACCATGTCATCGATAATTGGAATTTGAATGTCTCGTTGCGTTTCTCCGTGCTTAAAAGATAGAACACCTTCGCCACCCTTGTAATCCTTTCCGCTAACAGCTGTTTTATCAACTGTCCTCCATTTTATTTCAACCTCGCCGTCGGCGCCATTTTGCCTAAAATATTTAGATTTTAAAAATTTATCTTAAAGAAATATTTGTCTAATCTCATGAAAATTATGGATCAAATAATGAAATAGGAAAGTTAACATCAAATTGAACCTTTATATCTTTGAGTTTCTAAACAAACAGGTGAAAATGAAATTCTAATGGAATTTTGATAATTATTAATTCTATTATTAGAATTTAGGACATAGCAACTAAGTTTCGTTTTAACCATTAATTTTCTAATCTCTATATCTTTGTAACCTGATGGTGTACACCTTTGATATTTCAAACGTTAACTATTTCATAAGATCATAGCTTAAAATATCAAAAAGGCCCAAAAGGAAATCAGGTTGTAAAGATGTAAGAATTAGAAAATAAGAGTCTGTGGCGAGTAATCCATATTGAATCGAATTAAATTCTGATGAATCTCTGATTTACCGAATAACAGAGATCATGGCTTCCCCGCAGCTCTCCTTCACCAAGTGTCCGCGCTTCTCAAACTGGAAAGTTCCAGGTTCTAAACATAAATGTTCCAGTTTTAATTAGAATAAACAGAGATGGAATTTAAAGAATTTGAGCCGCGGTTTAAATCCGCCAAAATCCGCCAAAATCCGCCAAAACCCGGTTTAAATTTAGTGCCGGCTTAAATCTTGAAACATTTGATACAATTTTAAGTGGAACCAACCATATTTAAACCGCGGCTTAAATTTAAACCGCAGCTCAAATTCTTTAAATTCGGCCACTGATTAGTTTCTTTTTAATTGATATTCATGACTAAAATTCTAGGAAAAAGTTTGATTTTAACATCAACTTACTAAGAATAGATTTATATTTTTGAAGTCTGAAAACAAATAATCCAAAAAGAGCCCGCTCTTCCAGGAAAAATTATTAAAACATGTGTTTATCTTTTTTTTAGGGGGGGGGGTTATGAAAGGTTTTAATAAATAATAATTATTTAACAAATAGGGCCAGCCCGGTTCACAATCCTTTACCGTTGAAACTTTAGTCCAAGCAATTCTCAATGATGGTTTCTCTATTCCGGGTTTATACAAGAGAGACAGACGATTGACAGAGATATTCATCTACCTCATGATTACTTATCAGATAACGGGTTAAAAAGTGACTGTTTACAAATTACGTTAGTAGTCCCTTTAATATGTTAAGAAGAATGAAGTATGAATCTTACCGTCATCATTAAGAATAGTGATCTCCATGATACTGGTTCTACCAAGCTTAAGTTCTCCTCCTTCTCCTCCAGGTACTTTACTCAGCTTCAAGAAGAACTCCTCGTCCGGCTCCCACTGGTTGTCGTCCACGATGGTGATGCTGATCTAGAATAAGAACACGTATTTAAATCTGCTTGATAAACCTTATCTAAAAGACCGAGAGCAGTTCGATAAGTCGAAAATATGAATTCTTTGGCAAAGAATTTAATTTTTAGCAATAACCTCTGATTTTATAATCCCTATATAATGCAACCCAAATATCCTACACCTTGAGCTTATCCTATACCTTGAGCTTATCCTACACCTTGAGCTTATCCTACACCTTGAGCTTATCCTACACCTTGAGGTTATCCTACACCTTGAGGTTATCCTACACCATGAGGTGAATGAACCTACTTGACACTGATGGTATTGCTGATCTTCCCGTGCCTGCACACTAGGACACCAAAGGTTCCAACACTCTCCAAGACAGCAGCAGAAGCTGAAACAATATGATTATGGAAGCCATTTTCAAGAAAACATTTTGTTCAAAACTTTAATAGGGATAACTCACATATATTTATATCCTTACAATTTTGTTCATAATTTTGAACAAAATGTTCTTAATTTGGAATTGCTTGATATTAACGAAAAAATGTCAGGATTTTCTCAATG